ACGTGCTTTTTGTGACGACCTTAAGCGATTACCTGAAAGAACTCACGGGAGCGCGGGGGTTCACATAAGAGCTCAGGAGAATCTCAAAGTAATGACTTAGAATCAACAACTACCGAGTATAAAGGTCGAAGGTAGCTAAGGTCTATATACACGAAGGTAAGAGCGCCAAAGACTCGTGAACCATAGTTCATAGGTCAAAAGCGGGGAATAAGAGAATACGAAGAATACGAAGGAAAAAAAAAGGAAGTAGCTTAGCGCATATGAAGTGCGTCCAAGAGACCTGGCGTGTCGTCACACTACCCCTCCGTCCGAAAAAAGCTCGTCCTCGAGCGTCCATCCATTGCCTTATCACTACTCAAGTGATCGTAGTCATCAACACCGTCCGAATAAGCTTTGATCCAGTCGAAGAGCTTCGCGGAAGGGCCGAGGAGCTCTTTGTGTTCTAAATAGAAGTCACGTACCTTAAAAGGAGCGTACATAAAGTCGGAAGCGGGGTACCAAGTAAAGTCAATGTCGCGGCCGAGCTAAGAAGCGCGGTACTCAAAGTGCTTCTTGGTTTAGCGCACGGCTAAGATGTTCTCTACTTCGTACTCAAGTTCGCTAGTGATATTAATCGAGTCAGGTTCAAGAATGATTTGCCCGAAGGTAAAGTCGTTAAGTGCTTTTCGTAGCCGTTCGAGGTAGAAGACTGGGTGAACCTTTATTGACTCGGGGAGCTTGAGTTTGAAGCTGCTATAGACGTTGTCGATAACCTCGAACGGTCCGTTCGTCGGGTTATCGAGCTTCTTTAACGGTCGAGAGGTAAAGAACGAGCGCATGTCCAACCAAACCTTATCATTAACGTCGAAGTCAACCAGGCGCCTTGATTTATTAGCTTGTTTAGCTATGCGGTTTTAAGCGCGCTAAAAGTGCTTTCTAGCGAGGGTCCAAGCTCCGAGGTGGCGGTTAGCGTAAGCGCGAGCTTCGTCTTGATTGAGCTTGCGAAAAGGGGTTTGGTCGTCAAGTCGTTCTAAGCTCTAATTCCAGGTGGTCCGAAGAGCGTAGCCGTAGATTACCTCAAAAAGGGAAAGGCCGCCGAAGGAGTCGTAAAGGAGCGTCAATTGGGCGAAGTCCATCATAAGAAGGAACTCATTCCAATCGTCTTAATAATAGCTCACGAAAGGACGGAGGCGTTTCTACAAGTACTGGTTGTAGATTTCGGTCTGACCGTCAGTCTCAAGGTATGCGGCGGTGCTGAAGGTCAGTTTAATACCGAAGATCTTATTGAATTCTTTCTAGAACTCGGACCAGTATTAAGGTCCTTTGTCAGAAGTCAGTGTCAGAAGAGCTCTAAAATACTTATAGATATAGTAGATATAGAGCTTGGCGAAGCCTCTAGCGTCGATAGACTTGTGATAAAAGATCGAGATTGCTTGCTTAAAAAAGCGGTCGATTACCACAAAGACGTTATCGTAGCCGTGTTTGTCTTTATTAAAGCTACAAAAATCTATAGTAACGTGCTCCTAAGAGCGCGAAGGGATTAAGAGAGGTTAAAGCAAACTAGGTTTCTTATCGCGAAGCACTGAAGCTCGTCTGCAAGCGTAGCAGTTGCGGCAGTACTAGTTGACGAATCTGGCCATACCGTATTAATAGTACTATGCTGCAAAGAGCTTATAAGTTTTGCGAAAGCTAAGGTGTGCCGTAAATACCTGGTCGTAGACTTCTCGGACGAGTAACGAACGCAAGTTTTAAACGTCGAGAACTAATAAGCGGCCGTCATAGAGCAGCAGGTCGCCTTCTATAGTGAGTTTAGCTCGTGAACTATGGTTCACGAGTAAAGACTTAGCTCTAGAAGCTTGAATTCGAAGTGCTGTGAAACTAAAGGCGGTCCGATTGGCTTCTAAGACTTGGTCAATAACTCGGAATGTCGATGAGAGCTCCGCGATCTCTTCGATAGTGACGGCGGTCTTCGAAGGCGTAAGTTAGCGTAGCTCTTCGGTCAAGAGTCGTAGGTTAACGTTGTCGGCGCAAAGCAGCGTTTACAAGCGTTGGGTGCGCTTAAAGCTGTTTTAAGAAAAGAGCTTTTCGGTGCGACGTGTTAGCGCGTCAGCTAAAGGGTTGTCTTTACTTGGTCTGTACGTGATAATGAAATTGTAGTCGGAAAGGAGCTCTGCTTAGCGTGCTTAACGGGCGTTAAAGGTCTTGGAGGTTATAAAGTACTTTAAGGCCTTGTGGTCGGTGATTACTTGAACCTAGTGAAAAGAGCCGGCGAGTTCGGCGCGGAAGTTACTAAAAGAGCGTATAATAGCCAGCATCTCTTTGTCGTAGACGACGTAGTTAAGCTTAACGGGAGCCATGGTTTTAGAATAGTAAGCGACTGGTAGCCAATCGGAACCATGCTTTTAAAAGAAGACTAAAGCGACTACGCCGTCGGAAGCGTTAGTCTTTAATATACAAAAGAGGTTTTGGTTGTAATACTGTAAGATTGGCGCAATAATCAAAGCGAGCTTCAAGAGGTCGAAGCTTCTTTAACACTAAGAATTGAATAAAAAAGGAACGTTAGCCTTAATCAAGTGCACTAAAAGCTTTGCAATCACGCCGTAGTCTCGAATGAATCGGCGGTAGAAGTTACAAAATCCAAGGAAGCTTTAAACGCTTTTGACGGTCGTAAAGAGCGCTCAATGCTCTACTATCGACGTCTTGTCCGGATCTACCTCTAAGCCTTCGGTAGAAATGATAAAGCTTAAGTATTTTACCTTAGTTGTGCTAAATTCGCATTTTTTAATATCAGCTTAAAGGCTAGCGTCGTCGAGTCGTTAAAAGACTTAGCGAACGTAATAAGCGTGCTCTAAAAGGTCGGAAGAGTAGATCAAGATATCGTCTAAATATGCTGTACAAAAGATGTCTAAGAAGTCGAAAAGGAGGTCATTCATATAGCGTTAGTAAGTGGCGAGTCTATTAGTTAGTCCGAATAAAAGAACCTTGCACTTGTAAGCACCGTAGCGTGTCTTGAATGTTATAAGCTCTTTTAAAGCTAAGTCTATCCGTATTTTATGAAAAGCTTGCCGAATATCGAGTTTCGTAAAGATTTT